GCATTGTCTTGCATAAGTCTTTTTTTCATTTGAAGTATCCTCAAGTTTGTTATTTGGTAATAATACTCTCATTGTATTTACCATTAGCTTTAAACTTTGCCTCTCCTTATCGCGGACATTTTGCATTGTGATTACCAACTTACTATTTGTTATTTCATGTTTGTTTTTGTTTTTCTTCTGTTTTGCAAAAACTATCTCCTTTAGATCTCACAACAGACTCATTGCTTCTTGGTGTGCACAAATATAGCATAAACATTCAAATTTACGCAAGAAACTATAACGCCAGTATTCTAATTGCAAAACAATCATAATTGTAGCATTGCAATGATAAAATCTGATAATATATGGGAATTCATGAAGACACCTATCGAACCATCGGTTCCAGAATAGAACAAGATTTCAATAACAAAATTACACTACGGTATTGATTTTTTTTTTTGCGAAGAGGGAAAAAAGAATGATAACAGTCACAGTAATTGTTTATGCAACAGGTGAAGCATTCAGGTCATAGGAACGCAGCAAGGCAACATTTTCATCGCTTATGGGTCCAAAAAATGCAAACGGGTAAGCGTTTTGTGTCTTGATTGTGGGAATAGCACACAATTCAGAAATTTAATTACTAAAAAGAAAAATTACAGAATAATTGAAGCAATTCTAAATATTCAACCAGTTCTATGGTAAAGGTGAAAATTTCACGCAATGGAGTCTCTTTCACGTAAGTTCGAGCGCAAACTGATTCGATCAGTCCTCAATTGCTTTTTAACAATGCGCATACGCAATTCTGTTACACTCGAACGAGTAGTCGGTCTTCTTTTTTTCAAATCTTTATGTCATGGTTCTCTCTGTAATGATAAATGAAATCGTCTATCGATAACCAGCGGTGCAACCATACCCCTGGACGTGGTCCCAAATTGTCGACTAGATAGTCCAAACCATCCATCGTTTAAGCGGTGAAGTCTGACGAACTGTAGGCCTAGTTAACTATAGTCGTCCCTCGAATTTGCCCACTGCTTTGTTTCCAAATATTTCCTCCTTTGCGTATGGAATACACAAATTCAAGTACAGAGTTAGATACACACGTAAATTTCACGAAATAACAGTTTCCCAGTTTTATTTTATAATACCTTTTTCCTTATAACAATGACAAAAGCGATTTAAATACAATGTTAATTCAAAGCATATCTTTTTAAAGAGCTTATTTATCTGCTAAATAAATGTTCGAATAGAGAGCTAGTTTCCTGTGTTCATTAGTGACACCAATTAAAGCTGAAGACACAATTTACGCGTGTGTGTGTGTAAAATTTGGGGTTTGATTTTTTCTAAATCTAAATCTCTCTTACTGTTTTAAAGTGCACACTTAAAAGTCTATGTTAATGACAAAATGAACGTTTGTTATGTGCAAGAATCACAGAAAAAAAATTCAAAATTAAGTTATTTAGAGTAATTCGCGTTTTATTTATCTGAATGATATAAACATGTTTGTCGAAAAATACTGCATTTTATTAGAACAAAACACATACATGACTGGCTTCGTGCAAATACAACTTGCAAGTTTCCTTGGAAACATTTCAAAGCATTTTTAACAGAAGTTACATGTATTTGCTTTAACTCATTCTTTGATTCCATGCAGAGATAAGCGCATTATCTAACAAAGATAAATATGTAACTTTTGTTTGTTTTCTAGCTTTTGATCTGGCTTCCAAGGCATGGCAAGGGGGAGGGGTGTACAGCTCAAGGGAGCCACTTCAGGCGTAAAAGGCCCATCCAACCATCCCATCAACATGACATTTTCTAATTCAAATTATTCCGATTCAGTTAGTCATTCAGTTGCAAATTATGTACACAGTAATGGCAATATTTCAATTAGAAATTGTGCAATATATTTTAGCCTGCCTTTAGTCATGTAAAGTCACAGACTTTATCGAGAGGGAAAGAGGTCAAGGTTTGTTAATTATTTTGACAAGAGACACAATAATTTGAGGTAAGCTGCAGCACATCTGTACATTAGTCGTGCAGTTTCTTTTGTTCAAGTTCAAATTTTCTGCTATTTACATTTATCTTCATGTACCATTTAAAACCACAAGTTTCCAGTTCTCAACTTTTTCGTCTCAAACACAAGACTTAAAAATCCACCATCAAGCAATTTACACACGAAGATATTTTGGTCTATTTGCAGTGTTGTAGTCGAGTACTTTCCCGGTACCAACGTTCTCCGCAAAATACTGAACTGGGTAAGAGGGAATAAAGCCAGAGTGCACAGGCACTTGATGGTAAATGTGCAAAGGTAAGATTACAAAATAAATGTAAGACTTCAGACACTCCCAGTTGTGTAAAATTTAAGTTTTAAGGAGAAAAGTACTCGGAAAATACTCGGCCGAGTACTTTCCGAGTACTTTTCTCCTAAAAAGTTAATTGTAATCAAACAGTGATGGTCTGAAGTCATTATGTTGCTTTGTAATCTTACCTTTGTGCATGTACCATCAAATGCCAATGTACTTCAGCTTTGTTTCCCCCTAACAAGTTAAATATTTGGTAGAGAACTTGGTTCTCAAAAAGTACTCGACTACATCACTGTCTATCTGTCTTTGTCCAGAGAATAAGGTGACCGTGTTTCATTAATTTGTCACTGCTCAAACTGTTCTACATGTTAAATGTTTAAAAAATGACAACTTTAAATAACAGCAAGGATGATTTTGTAGTCCAATAGCTCTACTTTGATCAACTTCAAATGATACAGATTGTGCGTAACTGAACATCCATAACAAACAGATTCACGGTGAATCAACCTCCCCATACACTTCCACCTTCACACAAGCATGGCACCGGGGGCGTAGCGAAGGTATTTTCGGGGGGGGGGTTGCCAGGTCAATTTGCCGTTTTGTGGAACTTGTTACATTGTTCCGTTGGCGAGCACGACGTACCACGG